ATAAAAAAAAAACGAAATTTACTCGTTGTAACAAGTGAAGAGAATTAGTGTGAGAGAGATAGAGAGAGAGAGAGATGTTTAATCTACGAGCTGGAAGTAAAATTAGAACTTGCTAGACTACGTTTGGTTTGAGCTAAATTTTCATTTGTTAGATAGAACTATACAGAAGAAAAAAATATATAAGTCGAAGGTGTTTCGTGTAACAGAGTTGTTGTATGAAACAAAAAATTAGAAAAAAAAAGAAGAGAATATGTATTGGTAATTTGACGATAAATTTGTACTCTATACGCCGCAAATAGGTATCTATTTAGTAAGAAACGTGCGCACAGTATTAGTGTGAAAGCGTCGGCAGGTGCTAACTATGGAAGATAAAGCTAAATATAAATGAGGGCACCAAAATAGAAACTGCTAACGTATTGATCTTGGACCTGTGATCTGTGTTCGTGAATCTTTATACTTTCTTTGGCCATACGTTACCTGGTTTCGACATCGAATACGCTTGATCGGCTAGATTCTGCGCTCGTCTTGCTGCCTCTTCGGTAACATCTGGAAAAGTAGATGAACGCACCATAAGAAAAGGCGGGAAATGACAATGTGAACATTGAAAGCAATGATTTGACAAAGATTAGATGAATGATGTTTTCCCTGCATGGCATACCTCGGTTCATGCTTCGCTAGTTGTGGTCTCCTGTTAATTTCAATGATATATTTGTATATTACCGTATAATAAATAACAATATGATATTATATGTTACGCTATAATAAAAGAAACGGATAATGACAAATAAGGTTGTTGCGTATCAAACCGATAAACGTCGTTATCGATGGATAATAAAAAACATTTTCCTTATGGATAATATTATAATGTTAAAAAAAAAGAGTAGCATAAAAAACCTGGAAACATGCATTAAAAGAAAATGTTAAAAAAAAGTTAAAAAGGCACAAACTGAAAATAATAACAGCAAATAAATAGAAATAATTTTAAACACGTTGTCTTATAAATATTAGCTACGCTCGACCACGGATCTTCTTTTTTCTTTTTTTCAACTGTCATACTATAAAGTGTGTATGTGTGTGTTCAATTGAATGATGAATGATAACAAAGTGACTGAATAATATATGCAAAATAATGGAGATATAATATTATGAACGAGAAAAAATTGAAATATACTACGCAATGTTCGTTTTTTTCTACAAATAATCACTTCCATTTTTACAGTAACAAAATACAACACCGTTCCACTTTATAGTACGTTCGATCTTCTTATATTTTTTTTGTTTTTATTGTTTTTCCAAAAGATCCTCTAGACATTAGTACACTAAGAGTGATTGAGTTCAGAGTGTTAGAATTCATTAACGAATGACAGTGCAATGACCACTTTGGTCATTTTGGTATGACTACCAAAACATAAGTTACAGAAAAGCATCAACTTAATTAATCATGTTACACACAGCTGGTATGTAATATGTATAACGCAATTATTGCAAGATACCTTCGATTCTACTGTCAGTGTACTCGGCGGGACTGGGTGGCGGGGTTGCTGCCGTCCGCACAGACTTTCTTACGACTGTGGTGACGGTCTGCCGTGTGTGAGGTTCGAGGTGCTCTACATCGCTAAATACGTTTACTACCCTAACTGTACTATCTGATGAACTACTAGGGCTAACTCTTGCGTCTTTAGAGGAACTAACTTTTTGTGGAATGCGAGATACTTTCTTCGACGTCGATTCGCTACCACGATCGCCATCGTCGTCTCTAACGTTTACATCGGACAGTCTATATTGTGCATCGGGATCTACACCAGAAAGCGGATCATATACTTCTGTCGTAGACGATCTCAGATCTTTCCCACTTTTCGGGCTCGGTGTTCCCTTCGTTTCCGGCGTTCTTTCTTTAAAGAAAACATTTTCGTACAAATGAACGTCTGGTCTGTCTTGAGAGTGAGACGTGTCGAAGGCAGCATGGCGTTTCATTTCTTCTAAAAATTCAGCTACGCTGCTATTAGGGTCGCTAGTGTCTACGACAAACCTCTGATCTACGTGACTTGATAATTTCTCTCCGACAGCTTTTCTTGAGTCTGAAATTTTCTGCGCACTTGTCGCTACTTTTTCACTGCCTTCTTTCACGGCACCAGATATCTCGCCTTTAACACCCGACACAGCTGTAGCAGCTTTCTTCTCTGCCGCTTTCGTAGCTTTGGCCACGTCTTGACTAGTACTTTCTACGAATTGTACAGTGTGCTTCGCACTGTCTGTCACCTTCGCGCTAACTGCGTCTTTGACGTCTTTTGCACCTGTTGTGATTTTATCTTTAGTCATCTTCACGTCAGCAGCAGCTCTGTCCGCAGCCGCGTCGACGTCTTTCAGTTTTCCAGCCACAGCTTCGCGAGCACGAGTTTCCTCCTCCGCGGCCTCTTTTTTCGTTTCGTCGACGAATTCTTTAACCTCCCCAGAGAAATCGTCCGCCGCGTGCTTCGCGCTTTTGATCAAACCGGAGAAAAAGCCACCGCCTTTCTCCTTGGCCTTTTTACCTTCTTTCGCGGCTTTGTCTTTGACTGCCTTTGCGCCGTCAACAACTGTATCCACGCCGGACGAAACTTTCTGTTTCACAGCAACGGTATCTTCTTTGATCTCCTTGGCTAATTTATCTTTCGCTGCTTTCGCACCGTCGGATATTCCTTGAGCAGCTGTTTCTGCTTTTGATTCTGTTTTTTGTAGGCTATCAGCAACTTTGGCACCGACAGTTTTACCTGCGTCTGATACTGCTTGCGCAGTACCAGACACCTTTTCGCTGATCTTATCTTTTGTATCTTTCGCAGCTACCGTGACTTTTTCTTTAGCATCTTTCACGTCTGCAGCTACCTTGTCCTTCGCTGATTTAGCACCCTCGGCAACGTCTCGAGCTGTTGCTTCAGTTTTCGTTGCTACTCCCTTTACTCCGTCGGCAACTTTCTCGCCGACAGTTTCAGCAGCAAATGACACCTTGCGCACAGCGCCGGTTACTTTCTCGCTGACTTTGTCCTTGGCATCTTTCGCACCAGCTGCAGCTTTGTCTTTAACAGCTTCTACATCGGCGACAGCTTTATCCTTTGCCGCGTCGACTTCTTTCATTTTACTAGCAACGGTTTTACGAGCACGAGCTTCCTCCTCGGCAGCTTCTTTCTTCGTCTCGTCGTAGAATTCTTTAACATCGTCTGAAACTTCGTCTGCTGTATGCATCACACCTTTGATCAAGCCTGAGAAGAAACCGCCACTCTTTTCCTTAGCTTTTTTCGTTTCTTTCACAACTTTGTCCTTCGTTGCAGTTGCACCGTCTGCAACAGCTTGCATGCCAGAAGAAACTGTCTCCTTTACAGTCTCAGCATCGTGTTTGATCTCTTTCGTTAACTTATCTTTTGTTGTTTTCGCGCCGTCGGATATTCCTTGAGCAGCTGTTTCTACTTTTGCTTCTGTTTTCTGTAAACCGTCAGCAACTTTGGCACCCACAGCTTTACCAGCATCTGACATTGCTTGTGCAGTACCAGATACTTTCTCGCTGATCTTGTCTTTGGTGTCCTTCGCTGCTTTAGCACCCTCAGCAACGTCTCGGACTACTGCTTCAGTTTTTGCTTCTACTACCTTGACACCGTCAACAACTTTCTCACCAACAGCCTTGCCCGCATCCTGTACCTTTTGCACACCATCAGATACTCCTTCGCTGACCTTGTCCTTAGTATCTTTTGCAGCTGTTGCAACCTTGTCCTTTGCATCCTTTACGTCTGCAACTGCTTTATCCGCCATTAAGTCAACATCAAGCAGCTTGTCCTCCATTGCTTGGTGTACATAAGCCTTGTCCTCGGAGGCTACTCGTTTCGCGTCGTCGAGGAAGTCCTTAATATCATATGTAACTTCATCTGTAGAATGTTTGGAGCCCTTGAATAGTCCTGATAGAAAACCACCAGTCTTTTCTTTAGCTTTCTTAGCTTCCTTTGCAGCTTTATCCTTAGCCGAAGCCGCACCATCCACAACTGCTCCTATTCCCGATGAAACCTTCTGTTTCACAGCTGCAGCATCCTCCTGAATCTCCTTGGCTACTTTGTCCTTTGCTGCCTTTGTACCTTCGGCTATATCATGAGCAGCTACTTCCACTTTGTGTTTAGCTTTCTCAACACCGTCTGTAGCTTTCTCTCCAATTGCTCTGCCAGTGTCTGACACCTTATGCACACCTCCAACTATCACCTCGCTAATCTTGTCTTTAACATCTTTCGCAGAAGCTGCAGCTTTGTCTTTAGCGTCCTTAGCCTCAGCTACTGCTTTATCCTTCGTTGTTGTTGCTCCATCGACTAATTTATGCGCAGTGACATCTACAGCTGTACCAATTTCTTTCGCTCCATCTGTGACTTTCTCACCGACTGTTTTGCCAGCATCAGACACTTTCTGCACACCGTGAGACACTTTCTCGCTGACTTTATCTTTGGTGTCTTTCACCGCAGTAGCTACTTTATCCTTTGCATCTTTTGTATCAGCAACTACTTTGTCCTTGGTCGTATCGATGTCCTTTAACTTCTCTGATGCTGCTTCTCGAGCACGGGCTTCTTCTTCAGCAGCCTCTTTCTTCGTTTCATCGAAAAATTCTTTCACGTCTTCAGTGACCTCCTCTGCTGCATGTTTTGCGCCTTTGAATAACCCAGAAAGGAAGCCACCACTCTTTTCTTTGGCTTTCTTAGCTTCCTTCGCAGCTGCATCCTTTGCTGCTGAAGCACCATCTACCACTGACTCTACACCTGATGATACCTTTTCCTTTACAGCGTCTGCATCTTCTTTAATTTCCTTGGTAACTTTATCCTTTGCAGCCTTTGCACCAGAGGCAACGTCCTGTGCTGCAGTGCTTACTTTGTCTTCTGCTTTCTTCACTTCATCTACCATTTTTCCTCCAATGGATTTACCAGCGTCTGATAGCATTTGAGTACCATCGGTCACTTTGTCGCTAATTTGATCCTTGGCGTCCTTTGCAGCAATTCCAACTTTCTCCTTAACATCTTTCAGATCTGAAACTACTTTGTCCTTCGTTGACTTAGCACCATCAACTGCTTCGTGAACTGCTGCTTTCGTCTTAGCTTCTGCGTGCTTCGCTTCGTCGGCAATTTTGTCGCTAACAGCTTTTCCAGCATCGGATACTTTATGCACTCCTTCCGTTACTTTTCCAGCAACTTTCTCCTTTGCGTCTCCCACAACACTTGCAACTTTATCTTTGCTGTCCTTTGCAGCAGTTGTTACTTTATCTTTTGCGTCCATTACACCCGCGTCGATATCTTTCAACTTGCCTTCGACTGTATCGTGTAAACGAGCTTTCTCATCCGACGCTTCTTTCTTCGTTTCCTCGAGGAAGTCCTTCACATCACCGGTAACTTCATCAGCAGCGTGTTTTGCACCCTTGAACAATCCAGAAAGGAAGCCTCCACTTTTTTCCTTGGCTTTCTTAGCTTCCTTCGCAGCTTTGTCTTTAGCAGCTGCAGCACTATCTGCGACTGAATCGACCACTGACGATACCTTCTGCTTTACAGCATCGCTATCTTCTTTGATTTCTTTAGCTACCGCGTCTTTCACTGTCTTAGCGCCGCTAGATATGTCCTGAGCAGCTTTATCAGCTTTATCCTCGACTTTCTTCATACCGTCAGCAACCTTTTCTCCAACAGCTTTGCCAGTGTCTGCTACTTTGTGTGCTCCGTCAGCAACCTTTTCTCCAACAGCTTTGCCAGTGTCTACCACCTTCTGCGCTCCATCAGCCACTTTCTCGCTGACTTTGTCTTTGGTGTCTTTCGCAGAAGATGAAACTTTATCCGCAACAGTCTTAACATCAGCAGCTACTTTGTCCTTTGCTGTTTCCACACCGCTGGCTAAATCTTTCGTTGTAGCTTCTACCTTCGCCTCAGCGATTTTTACACCATCTGAAACTTTTCCACCTAATGTTTTGCCAGCATCTGACACCTTTTGCATAGTATCAGATACTTTCTCGGTGACTTTATCCTGGGTGTCTACCACAGCTCCTGCAACCTTATCCTTTGCATCCTTCATATCAGCAGCTGCTTTGTCTTTGGCTGCGTCGAGGTCTTTAAGTTTTCCTGCCATTGCTTCATGTGCACGAGCTTCCTCTTCAGCAGCCTCTTTCTTCGTATCGTCAACGAAACCTTTCATCTCGTCGGAAACTTCATCAGCTGCCTGTTTGGCACTCTTAAAGAATCCAGAAAGGAAACCGCTGCTCTTTTCCTTGGCTTTCTTAGCCTCCTTTGCTGCTTTATCTTTCGCCGCGCCTGCAGCATCAGCAGCTTTATCTATTCCCGAAGAAATCTTCTGTTTTACAGCATCAGTGTCTTCCTTGACTTCCTTTGCCACTTTGTCCTTCGTCGCCTTCGCGCCTCCAGCTATGTCTTGAGCAATTGCTCCAGCTTTGTCCTCAGCTTTCTTCACACCGTCGGTTACTTTCTCTCCTACCGTTTTGCCAGCGTCCAATACTTTCTCTTTACCCGCTGACACTTTTTCACCGACTGCGTCTGCCGCGTCCTTTGCAGCTGTAGCGACTTTGTCTTTCGTATCTTTCACTCCAGCAATTGCTTTGTCCTTGCCTGCTTTTGCGCCTTCAGCTAATTCTTGAACCTTGGCGTCTGTTTTCTCTGCTGCACGCTTCGCCTCGTCAGCCACCTTGTCACCCGCAGCTTTTCCAGCATCTGACACTTTTTGCGTCACGTCAGACACTTTGGCGCTGATCGTATCCTTGGTGTCTTTCACAGCGGTTGCAACCTTATCTTTCGCGTCCTTTACGTCCGCAGCTGCTTGATCTTTCGCTGCATCGATGTCCTTTAACTTTCCTTCTACCGTATCATGGAGACGAGCTTTCTCTTCAGATGCTTCTTTCTTAGTTTCTTCCATGAAGTCTTTGATGTCATCTGACATCTCATCGACAGAATGTTTCGCACCTTTGAACAGTCCCGAAAGGAAGCCACCAGTTTTTTCCTTTGCCTTTTTAGCTTCTTTCGCTGCCTTGTCCTTTGCTGATGTTGCACCATCTACCACTGCGTCTATGCCTGATGATACCGTTTGTTTTACAGTAGTAGCATCTTCTTTGATCTCCTTGGCGACTTTCTCCTTTGTAGCTTTTGCACCGTCGGCTACCTCGTGAGCAGTTGCTTCTACTTTGCCCTCAACTTTCTTCGCACCATCTGCGATCTTTCCTCCAACAGTTTTACCTGCGTCTGACACCTTTTGCGCACCCTCGGACACTTTATCGCTGATCTTGTCCTTTGTGTCCTTTGCTGCAGATGCGAGCGTGTCTTTGGCGTCTTTTACGCCAGTAACGAGCTTGTCCTTCGTTGTTTTCGCACCTTCAGCCACGTCCTGAGCAACTGCTTTCGCTTTAGCATCTGCTTCTTTAACTCCACCTGCTACCTTGTCGCTCACAGTTTTTCCAGCATCTGCAACAACCTTTACGCCGTCGGATACTTTTTCGCTAATTTTCTCTCCTGTGTCCTTGACAACAATTGCCACTTTATCCTTTGCGCCTTTCACCTCAGCGGCTGCTTTGTCTTTTGCTGCGTCAATATCTTTCGATGCTTTCTCAGCTGCTTCGCGAGCACGAGCTTCTTCCTCTGCTGCTTCCTTCTTTGTATCGTCGAAGAATTCTTTAACATCTTCCGTAACCTCTTCTGCTGCATGTTTTGCACCTTTGAATAAACCAGAGAGGAAACCTCCACTCTTTTCCTTTGCTTTCTTAGCTTCCTTCGCGACCTTTTCTTTTGCTGCTTCTGTGCCATCGGCAACAGCATCCACACCCGATGAAATCTTATGTTTCACGGCAGCAACATCTTCTGTAACTTCTTTCTCAACCTTGTCCTTAGCTGTTTTTGCTTTCTCAGCTGCCTCGTGGGCGGATGCTTCTGCTTTGTCGCCTACTTTCTTTGCACCACTCACTATCTTTTCACCAACCATTTTACTTGTGTCTGATATTTCCTGAGCACCCTCGGTCACTTTTTCACCGATCTTGGCTTCTGTGTCCTTAACGGCTGCTGCAGTTTTATCCTTGGCATCTTTCAAGTCAGTAACTACTTTATCCTTTGCGGCTTTCGCACCATCGGCAATTTCGTGTGCAGTGGTTTCCACTTTTTCTCCAGTCTGTTTCACACCGTCTGCTACCTTTTCACCAACAGCTTTGCTAGCATCTGATGCTTTTTGTGCAACATCAGATACTTTGGCGCTGATTGTATCTTTAGTGTCTTTCACAGCTGTTGCAACTTTGTCCTTTGCACCCTTTACGTCTGCAACTGCTTTATCCCTCATCGAGTCAACGTCGAACAACTTGGTCTCCATTGCTTCATATGCTAAAGCTTTATCCTCAGAGGCTTCTCTCCTCGCTTCATCGAGGAAGTCCTTAACATCGTCTGAAACTTCATCTGCTGCGTGTTTTGTTCCTTTGAAAAATCCAGAAAGGAAGCCACCAGTTTTTTCTTCAACCTTCTTAGCTCCCTTCGCAGCTTTGTCCTTGGCTAATGCTGCACCATCTACAATGGAATCTACTCCAGATGATACCTTCTGCTTTACAGCTGCAGCATCGTCCTGAATCTCCTTGGCTACTTTATCCTTTGCTGCCTTTGTACTATCAGTTATATCATGAGCAGCTACTTCTACTTTGTGTTTAGCTTTCTCCATACCATCTGCAGCTTTTTCTCCAATCGCTTTGCCAGTGTCTGCCACCTTATGCGCACCTCCAACTACCACTTCGCTGATCTTGTCTTTAGCATCTTTCGCAGAAGCTGCAGCCTTTTCTCCAACAGCTTTATCAGCGTCGGATACCTTCTGTACACCCTCGGATATTTTCTCGCTAACCTTGTCTTTGGTGTCTTTTGCAGCAGATGCAGCTTTATCCTTGGCGTCCTTTACATCTGCAAAAGCTTTATCCGTTGCTGCTTTAGCACCCTCAGCAACGTCTCGGGCTACTGCTTCAGTTTTTGCTTCTACTACCTTGACACCGTCAACAACTTTCTCACCAACAGCTTTGCCCGCATCCTGTACCTTTTGCACACCATCAGATACAACTTCGCTGACCTTGTCCTTAGTATCTTTTGCAGCTGTTGCAACCTTGTCCTTTGCATCCTTTACGTCTGCAACTGCTTTATCCGCCATTAAGTCAACATCAAACAGCTTGTCCTCCATTGTTTGGTGTACATAAGCTTTGTCCTCGGAGGCTACTCGTTTCGCATCGTCGAGGAAGTCGTTCATATCAAATGTAACTTCATTTATAGAATGTTTGGAGCCTTTGAATAGTCCTGATAGAAAACCACCAGTTTTTTCTTTAGCTTTCTTAGCTTCCTTTGCAGCTTTATCTTTAGCCGCAGCCGCACCATCCACAACTGCTCCTATTCCCGATGAAACCTGCTGTTTCACATCTGCAGCATCCTCCTGAATTTCCTTGGCTACTTTGTCTTTTGCTGCCTTTGTACCTTCGACTAAATCATGAGCAGCTACATCCACTTTGTGTTTAGCTTTCTCAACACCGTCTGCAGCTTTCTCCCCAACTGCTTTGCCAGTGTCTGACACCTTGTGCGCACCTTCGACCACTTTTTCACTGACTTTATCCTTCGTATCCTTCGCTGCAGCTGCAACTTTATCCTTAGCATCTGTCACGCCAGCAACTGCCTTATCTTTCGCTGCTATTAATCCCTCAGCAACACCTCGAGCAGTGGAGTCTACCTTTTGCTCAGCTTGTTTTACTCCGCCTACCACTTTGTCGCCGACAGTTTTTCCAGTATCAGACACTTTCTGTACACCTGAAGATACTTTCTCGCTAATCAAATCCTTGGCATCTTTCGCAGCGCCTGTAACCTTTTCCTTTGCATCCTTCACATCAGCAGCTGCTTTATCTTTAGCTGCAGCGATGTCTTTAGCTTTTCTTTCTGCTGCTTCTCGCGCACGGGCTTCCTCTTCAGCCGCTTCTTTCTTTGTCTCGTCAAGGAATTCTTTGACATCTTCTGAAACCTCACCTGCGCTATGTTTCGCACCCTTGAACAATCCTGAGAGGAAACCACCTGTCTTTTCCTTTGCCTTTTTAGCTTCCTTTGCAGCCTTGTCCTTCGCTGCTGCTGCACCATCTACCACTTGGTCTATTCCACTTGCTACCCTGTGCTTTGCCGCTTCAGCATCTTCTTTAACTTCCTTAGCTACCTTATCTTTCGCAGCTTTGGCGCCATCGGAGATTCCACGTGTAGCTGCTTCAGCTTTTACTTCAACATTTTTCGCTCCATCCACCACTTTGTCACCAACTGCTTTTCCAGTATCTTTCGCTTTTTGCATACCCTCAGTCACTTTCTCACCGACCTTATCCTTGGTGTCCTTTGCAGCTGCTACAGCTGCATCTTTAACAACTTTTGCTTTGTCCATTGCTACTTTCGCACTTTCATCTATATTCTTAGTACCTTTCACACCAAATACTTTTTCAGAATCTGACAATTGGTGGGCAGCTTCAGTTACCTTCTGACCAACTGTATCCTTCGTATCCTTCGCTGCAGCTGCAACTTTATCCTTAGCATCTGTCACGCCAGCAACTGTCTTATCTTTCGCTGTTTTTAATCCCTCAGCAACACCTCGAGCAGTGGAGTCTACCTTTTGCTCAACTTGTTTTACTCCGTCTACCACTTTGTCGCCGACAGTTTTGCCAGTATCAGACACTTTCTGTACACCTGAAGATACTTTCTCGCTAACCAAATCCTTGGCGTCTTTCGCAGCGCCTGTAACCTTTTCCTTTGCATCCTTCACATCAGCAGCTGCTTTATCTTTAGCTGCAGCGATGTCTTTAGCTTTCCTTTTTGCTGCTTCTCGCGCACGGGCCTCCTCTTCAGCCGCTTCTTTCTTTGTCTCGTCAAGAAATTCTTTGACATCTTCTGAAACCTCATCTGCGCTATGTTTCGCACCCTTGAACAAACCTGAGAGGAAACCACCTGTCTTTTCCTTTGCCTTTTTAGCTTCCTTTGCAGCCTTGTCCTTCGCTGCTGCTGCACCATCTACCACTGTGTCTATTCCACTTGCTACCTTGTGCTTTGCTGCTTCAGCATCTTCTTTAACTTCCTTAGCTACCTTATCTTTCGCAGCTTTGGCACCATCGGAGATTCCACGTGCAGCTGATTCAGCTTTTACTTCAACATTTTTCGCTCCATCCACCACTTTGTCACCAACTGCTTTTCCAGTATCTTTCGCTTTTTGCATACCCTCAGTCACTTTCTCACCGACCTTATCCTTGGTGTCCTTTGCAGCTGCTACAGCTGCATCTTTAACAACTTTTGCTTTGTCCATTGCTACTTTCGCACTTTCATCTATATTCTTAGTACCTTTCACACCAAATACTTTTTCAGAATCTGACAATTGGTGGGCAGCTTCAGTTACCTTCTGACCAACTGTATCCTTCGTATCCTTCGCTGCAGCTGCAACTTTATCCTTAGCATCTGTCACGCCAGCAACTGTCTTATCTTTCGCTGCTTTTAATCCCTCAGCAACACCTCGAGCAGTGGAGTCTACCTTTTGCTCAGCTTGTTTTACTCCGTCTACCACTTTGTCGCTAACAGTTTTGCCAGTATCAGACACTTTCTGTACACCTGAAGATACTTTCTCGCTAACCAAATCCTTGGCGTCTTTCGCAGCGCCTGTAACCTTTTCCTTTGCATCCTTCACATCAGCAGCTGCTTTATCTTTAGCTGCAGCGATGTCTTTAGCTTTTCTTTCTGCTGCTTCTCGCGCCCGGGCTTCCTCTTCTGCCGCTTCTTTCTTTGTCTCGTCAAGGAATTCTTTGACATCTTCTGAAACCTCATCTGCGCTATGTTTCGCACCCTTGAACAATCCTGAGAGGAAACCACCTGTCTTTTCCTTTGCCTTTTTAGCTTCCTTTGTAGCCTTATCCTTCGCTGCTGCTACACCATCTACCACTGTGTCTATTCCACTTGCTACCCTGTGCTTTGCCGCTTCAGCATCTTCTTTAACTTCCTTAGCTACCTTATCTTTCGCAGCTTTGGCGCCATCGGAGATTCCACGTGTAGCTGCTTCAGCTTTTACTTCAACATTTTTCGCTCCATCCACCACTTTGTCACCAACTGCTTTTCCAGTATCTTTCGCTTTTTGCATACCCTCAGTCACTTTCTCACCGACCTTATCCTTGGTGTCCTTTGCAGCTGCTACAGCTGCATCTTTAACAACTTTTGCTTTGTCCATTGCTACTTTCGCACTTTCATCTATATTCTTAGTACCTTTCACACCAAATACTTTTTCAGAATCTGTCAATTGGTGGGTAGCTTCAGATACTTTCTGACCAACTGTATCCTTAGCATCCTTCATAGCAGTTGCCATTTTATCCTTTGCATCCTTCGCTTCCATAGCTGCCTTGTCCTTCGCTGCATCAAGGTCCTTCAGCTTTCCTGCTGCTGCTTCACGAGCGCGAGCTTCCTCTTCTGCAGCCTCTTTTTTTGTATCGTCAACAAAATCTTTCATCTCGTCGGAAACTTCATCAGCTGCGTGTTTCGCACTCTTGAAAAGTCCTGAAAGGAAACCGCCGGTCTTTTCCTTGGCCTTCTTAGCTTCCTTCGCAGCTTTATCTTTTGCTGCTGCTGTACCATCTACAACTGTCTCTACACCAGATGATATCTTTTGCTTTGCTATTTCACTGTCTTCCTTTATCTCCTTAGCCACTTTATCTTTCGTTGCTTTGGCACCATCAGCTATTTCTCGCGCAGTCTCCTCAGCCTTGGCTTCAACGGTCTTCGCTCCTTTGCCTACACTTTCACCGACTGCCTTACCAGTATCGGTTACCTTCTGCGCACCTTCGGCCACTTTCCCGCCGACTTTATCCTTAGTATCTTTCGCAACAGTCACAACTTTACCAGTAGCGATCTTTATACCTGAAGCAGCTTTATCCTTCGCTGCTTTTGCACCATCGGCTACATCCTTAGCAGCAGCATCTGCTTTTTCTTCAGCTCGTTTCACTCCATCCACTACCTTCTCACCGACAACTTTGCCAGTATCTGCAGCTTTCTGTGCAGTTTCAGACACCTTTTCGCCGATCTTATCCTTCGTGTCCTTTACAGCTGTCGCCACTTTGTCCTTTGCATCCTTTGCTTCAGAAACTGCTTTATCCTTGTCAGTGTCAAGGTCTTGCAGTTTTCCTGCCACAGCTTCTCGTGCACGATCTTTCTCTTCGGTGATTCCTTTCTTTGTGTCATCGAGTACGTCTTTGGCTTCTTCGAAAGCTTCGTCTGCCGCGTGCTTAGTGCCTTTGAACAAGCCTGACAGGAAACCGCCAGACTTTTCCTTAGCTTTCTTAGCCTCTTTCGCAGCTTTATCCTTCGCTGACTCTGCTCCATCCGTCACTGCGTCTATTCCAGCAGATATTTTCTTCTTCGCAGCATCGGCGTCTTCCTTGATATCTGCTGCAGCTTTGTCTTTTGCTTCCTTCGAATCTTTCACAACATCTGTTGTATCTAACGTTACGTTTGCGAGTTTCTTCGTATCCTCCAGGAATTTCTCAGTGGCCTCGCGTAACGAACTATCCGGAACTATCGCTGGTTCTTGCGGCGGAGTGCTCTTCTCTCGAGATCTGCTTCGCGAGTCCCTGGACAATTTCGGGCCTATAAATTTACCGAAGATTCCAATACCCTTGTCTTTATCTGCAGACTCTGATTGCGAGACATCGGGAACCGTATCGGTGGTAGTTTTTTCTACAGTTCGTTTTGGATCTTCGTGGTGCATGCTCTCTGCAACTTTCTTCGTATCTTCCAAGAAGTTTGCCGTTAAATGTCGCGCCTCTTCGTCTCCACTGTCAAAGGATGCTTCCTTCGAGGAACTTTTCTCTCTAGACGCGCTTCTCTTCTTAGACTTCAGTTTCGGACTCTTGAACATACTGAAGAATCCTCCGCTCTTGTCTTTACCCTCGTCACCTGTCTCTCTTTCATCCTCCGTCGACTTATCCTGCGAATCTGCCTTCGAGTCACCGTACCTTTCGACACTTCGTTCCTTCTGCTTCTTCGCGTCTGATTTTCCATTCATCTCCTTGTGTGGAGTGCTTCTATCCGTCTCTAACTTCCTCTGCATATCCAAAATATCGTACGAATGTCCGTTCAACTTATCCTTAGGCGTATCCTCCGCGTAATGAACCTGCGAGGTAAAAGTATGCAACTCTTGTTTGCCCTCGATCTTAGGCGCTGTTGGTACAATTGTACTTTCAGCAACTTTCCGTGTATCGTCTAAGAATTTTCCAGTGGCAGTTCGAAGCTCTTCGTCGCCGCTGTCGAACGATGCTTCTTTAGATTTCTTCAATTTCTTGTCCTTCGACTTCGGACTCTTGAACATACCGAAGAAACCTCCACCTTTCTCCTTCTCCTGATCACTTCCATCGCTAGCCGTGGTTCCAGTACGATCGTCCGGTTCTTTACCTGCTGTTTTTACGTCGTCTTTCGGCTGGACTCGAATCGAGGTTGCTGCACTGTCAGCTACACCATGTGCGTCCGAGGCAATGCGCCTGGAATCGTCCAAGAATTGCATCGTAGCTAATTTTGCGTCGTAAGGTGCGCTGACTTCAGCAGGTTTCAGATCTAAATGAGATTCATGCACAACGTGAATCGGTGGTTGCGTTTGTGCCGGTTGTTCCGTGGCTACTTTTGTTTCTTCGTCGCCGCTGTCGAAGGACGTATCTTTCGATCCCTTGGATTTGCTCTTCTTAAGCTTGGTTCCTTTGAAGATACCCGAAAGTATACCGCCGCTCTTGTCCTTCAATTTCTTCGACTCGTCATCTTGCTTGTCGTCTGGTTGCACAGACGGATACTGTACGCTGTAAACGCTCTCGTAGGCAGACGTCTGCTTATCGGTCGTGGGTTTCGTGTCTTTTGGAATGTTCGTTTTAACAACAGCATCTTTAGGCGATTGTTGCCTCTGTTCGTCTCGTAGAACTTCTTTATCCTTTTCTGCTGCATCTCTCGTGCCTTCTTTCTTAGGTGTTACAAGGGGAATTGTTAATTTCTCGTCGATCTCCTTACCTTCCTTGGACAACATCTCCTTCTTGCTGACAACGCTTCGCTTGCCGTTGGAAACTGTGTCTTTAGGCGTTACTTCCTCTATCTTTTTTACCGTGACAGTTTGCGTAGTACTCACAGGTTGGCCTGCCGCCTTGTCGTCGGTTACCGAAAGTATAATTTTCGACGAAACGATCGTAGTTATGCTAGAATCGCCCTTCCCGTCGCGAACGTAACGCTGTTTAATTATCGGTGGTTCAACGACAGGTACTCGACCGTCGCTAACAGCCTCCTCGATTTTAACGCCCTTATCTCTCGGCTCATTGTCACTGAACTGTTCCCTAACAAAACTTTGAACTACAGCACCTCTTGCCTCTTTACTGTCCCGCGCATCATCATCATAAACCACCGACCACCCTTCCTTTGCTAACTTCCCCTTCTCTTTCTCTGCGTCTGCTATTACACCTGTTAATTAAGTATTACATATTTTAGGCATCTGTAAACGTTGCAAAATGGAAAGAACACATTTTTTTTTTTTAATTTTTTGTTTTTTATTTCAATTCGTCATCATTAGTGTAAGCCGGCTCGCTCGATATTGCTCTTTGTTTGAGAACAGCGGTTAGACTCTCGTGTGGTTTTGTGCGTGGAGTGTGTATGCTGTGGAGCAGCCATCCGTTCAACGAATAATTTGCGCTTCGAAAAGATAACGATCGATTGAATCGTTGAAAAAATTAAACGTTAATTAAAAATTTCGATATTTTTGTTTAGAGAATTATACAGTGATTCAATTCATGATAGCGAGTACTTTTAACGCTACAATGTTTGAGATATTGTAATCACTGTTTACGAAAATGGAATTCAATTGTTGAAAGTAATTAATGCTCGATTATTTTTTGCAAATTGAATTCATGTAAATGTATAATAATTGAGAATACAACAATGACAGCTGCTCCGTGAGTCCGCACAGTTAGGCCACACGTATTTGGCCGTTCATGCAACGCCAAAAAATTGCAGCGAAACCTTGCTGAAACAAATTAATGGGACGTGTCGAAGAAAGTAGAAGGCTATTAGTGGGTCATTAAATGAAGACACAGAAGAGTAGTTCGCATTATAATACAGTAGATATGAAATGTAATTTGAGAGGCAAAAAAAATTAAAATAGTTTTATTACGTAATTAAAGTAAAAGCAAGCTGATAAATTTGTAAAAAATCCGCATCAGCCCTCCAGAACCTGTGAGTGAAAGTAAAAGATGATAAAGTAAAAGAAGTAAATGATCTAGTGTGCCCAAAATTAATCGTAGATCTATGAACTTTCACAGATGTGAATCGTGTCCAGAATCAATGCCGTGTGCTACACTTTCAAAAATCGCCTATTTTCCAATAGTTTCAAAATAAATTTGATAAAAATTATAATAATTAATATAGTGTATCTAATAAGAAAAAGAAGAAGAAACAAATACTTGTTTAGCAATCTTCAGTAAAACAGCATGAATGTTATTATTTTCAAAACAATAATTAGATTGATGTGGATAATTGTTTTGGAAATAATAACAGATGATTTAAATGTATATAGTATAGTATTGTATAATACATAGTTGAATTCATAATAGAACCAAGAGTATAGTGATATTTCTGAAAAATACAATGAAACAAATTTAGTTTAATAATAATTTAACACAGAATCTTATAAGAATATAGATTGATTTTCAAAATTGCCTTTCCAAGATAAAAACGAAGTTTCATAGAAAAAAATTAATTTTACAGTTTCAATTCATTTTTCCTACACACATGTACTGTTCTTGGTCCAACAATGATTCTCAGTTCATATCTATTCAATCAATACAATAGCATAAATTAACATCAGGAAGCAAAATAATCATTGTGTTAACTCATTATTTCTGCAATAACTAAGATACATTTACAGCTACTAGGGTAATCAGATTACTAAAAGAATGTGTAATTATTAGTATCTTAATTTTGTAACATTTCGGTTAATAATAAGTTAAAATTTATTATTACAAATTTCGTTATTTTAACTTACTAATAACTACAGTAGTCGCAAATTGGGATACTAACAATCATAAATATTGCAGTTCTTCCACTAAAGTTGCACAAAATCTATGTTTCATAAATAGTCGAACACACGTGTAAATAAGACATACAAGTATCTTCATCGCAAAAGATAACTACCATATTTCTTTGTACATCATGATAAAGAACTACAGCTACGAACATGATATACTAAAAAGCGAGATTTTCGATAGAGCACTAGCGTTTGAAATTTCATCGATAAATGGTTAATATAAGTTATCCTAGAACCAAGCGTGATATCATCGCATTAAAATTCGTCATGCTGCCGCGTGTTGATTTACGCTTCCATTTTTAAAGAAAATGTATATGATGATTATCAATCAATTGGCGCTTTGAATGTTTTATTATTATTATTTCTTTTTTTGATTATTTCCTTTTGCAGCTAGTCGAAGCACGGCCCCTCAACCCACCATTTCTCAAGGAATGCACAAATCACTTACCGGAAACGATTCTGTTGGCGTCTGCGATCACTCTCTGTCGTTTTTTATCTTCGTCGTCAAGTTCGTCACGTGACTTTTTGATCATCGTGTCGGCAACGTGACATTTTTGCTCGAGAAATTCGGCCATAACATCCCCTAGTTCTTTCTCGTCGCTTGCGTATTTATCTTTGATGGGGGTCGAGGTTCCGTTGAATACAGTGCCGTTTGTGATTGTGACATGCTGTTTCGCTGTCAAGTGTGGAAAAAAATATGTGGTTTAAACGGCGTGAAGAGATCGGCTAATATTATATTAAAAGCCCGAGAACAAAATGTATTAAACAAACAAAAAATAGATAAGAGGAATAAATTATCATAAAGTATTATTTCCAGTTTTAAATCGGTAATGTGCAAATCTACTGGATGCACAAATTAGTTTCCAAGTTCTGTTAAGTCAGGCAATGTGGATGGATGATGATGTTTGCTCTCAGATTTGACATTATACTAAATCAGTTCGAACGAAATCTATGAATGTGCAGAGATGTTCCAAATATACATCGTCATTGTAAATGTGCTTTCTAAGAAGTGTGAAGAGTAAACTCATGATTTCACGTTATTTTTCTTAGCAATGAGACACAGAGTTGAGCCGGCGTGTTATTCACAGAAACAAATGCAAGCAGTGATGTCATGTCCTTTCTAGTGTTGTCATCGTATAAGTGTGTAGGGTTAAACGTCAGTCGGTTCGAAGAATATTTTAGATATCGTATTGGAAGTTAATTTTGAAAGAATGAAATATAGTGTAGTTAATAAAGTACATACATGTATCTCGTTTATTGCTACTGATATCGAGGTCTTCTATAGATCCAGATTCCTAAAAAAGAAAAAACACAAATTGCTTAAATAAAAATAATAATACATGTAATTTTTAATACAGTCAATGGAAAATGCAATTTAATCTGTAATGATAGTTTAAAAAATACAAACCTTGCTTTTGTTCAAATCATCGTAATCAGGATCCATCTTTGGATCCATTGTAGCATCACGTCGAAGTGAAGTATCCCTTGAAGGACCCAATTCTTCTTTCAAAGAATCAAAACCAGGTTGATCTAATCGTACTCGTGCGACGGCCTTTTCTACGTCATCAGTGACCAGTTCAACGTTGAATATGCATTTTTTCACTATGTCCTCGCGGCCAATCTTATTCAACGCTTTTTCTAATGTATTTCCTACGCATACAAATAGTTTTCAAGTGAGATAACAATTGATAACATTATTCGTGGTATAACAATTGCACGTATAAATGACATAGAAATATTTATAATTTTCGCTCTGTTGTATTATATTGAACTAAATTTCAATTTGCACACAAAAATATGTATTTATTATTGCACGCTAAAAGCGATAAGGAATGGTTTACATCCTTTTAACACAAGATACACGAGACTATTATTTAAAAAAAAAATGAGAAAAAAAAAAAGAAAAACTATTATAATCATACTTCTCCATAACGTTAATTAAAATTTATTGGTCTACAATTATCTGCATCAATTAACCGCGCAAAATTGTTGTCCAATTGATAAAATATTTCTGTCAAGGCTCTCGTACGTAACGAGCACAAAATAACGCTGACGTAACTACTTTTTTAAATATTTATGTTTCTTACATAGTCAACTACATAAGAAAAGAAATTCTTTCATTAGGCTTTTTGTTCGTCGCTTAAAATGAATGAAATATTTTCTAATTATTTATTTCAAATGATTTCCAGTCGATGGTAAATCTAGAATAAACTCCTTTCTTCCCCTCAATGTCAGAAACCGAATAAATTTTATTTACATTTATGTCACGTTAGAAGAATGTCAAGGATACATTTTTCATTGATAACGATCATTCTCCGATGACACACAGACACATGCACACACCTGTGTTTATTGAAATGTGATATCTCTGAGGAGATGATTTCCTAAATAGCAACGACAGTTCACTGACGTACGTATTAGTCGTCTCGTTTTCATATTCCTGATACAAAGATATAAACATTTTGGCGTTTATGTCTGATCAAAAATCGAAAATTAAAAAAAAAGAGTACAAAAAGCTGAATAAAAAATTATAAAAATGCTACAGGAAGACGAAAATTTGGGAAGCACTCGAAATGTACAATCACTTTCACTGTATTCTTGTTCAGATAGTGCGCACTTCTGCTTGTTTTAACCGATTGCAGAACAGAAACGATGTGCTACGTGCATTTCTGCCGTATGTCTGTGTCATTAGTGTTGGTAAAAAAGAGGGGGAAAGGAGTCCATAGGTTTATGTCAGGCATAATAATGCAGGATGAGATCACCAACTACGTTGCTCCTCAGATTCCACGCGTCTTAGTCAAACAAGCCTGTCTGATTAATCGACCTTGCTGAGAAACAGGTTCCCTTTAAATTTCGCTATCTGTTACTATATCTAATGCTCACATACAGATAGGACTTCTCGTCTAATCTTGAAAAAGGCAACAGATTTTTTTCAGTTTCTTTAAACGTTTATACTGATACGCTAGATAAGGCAAAGTTATTTATGAACAAGACCAATGTAACAGAAAATAATCGTTAAACTGTGTGCAATATAAAAAAAAAGTAAATTTGTTTATAATTAAAACGGAAAAGTAGGTATTAAAATAGTGGTATAAAGATTGATAATGCAACAGGAAGTTTATATATAAGTTCATTAATTCAGAAAACAATGAGTCAAAAGTAAAATTATAATAACTTGAAGATTCGATTTGCGCACCCTAAGTGTATTTATAAAGATGAGATAACGAGCACTCATAATAGCGCGTATCATAGTAGCGGTAATAATTGTATTATCGTGTAGTTAATGACTTTCATGATTTACTGAAAGTCAATGAATTAATAGTGTTTGAATTAGATGAGGTAACGACTAAAAATACAGACATATATTATTATCACAGTTCCTGAATCTTATCGTGCATTCAAATGATATCTTTGATTGATAAATATTCGGGTGTTAAATAACCATGTAAATATTCAAAATTGATATCGAAATAAGTACATTCCTCACATAAATGTTTACCCATTATACATATGTTACTGATAACAGCATGTGTTGTAATATGTATTATGAAACAAATGTTCAATAAAGAAAGCAATTACCTTATCAGTCCCTAAATAAATTTACAAATTGCGAGCATCAATGTGTAACATTGTTATCCATTTAAAATATTTATAAAAACAAAAATTTACATAATAGGAAATTTCAAATTGAAAACAATTATGTCAACTAGATACTCATTGTCATCTAATCCCAAATCAATGTTGTATTAGCAATATTAGATAATATTATCGACCAAATTTAATATCTCTAAACATGTTTGAAGCGTTCATGTAATACCCAAAGATCCGATTGATTTGAAGAATTAATCCAATATGCAAGAATATTACATAATATTTATCAAACTCACCTGTTGCTTTGTTTCCGTTGCTCTGCCATACTTTAAGCATAGCCGCGGCTTGCTGGGCTGGTTTGTTAACGTATTCTTGTTTGATCGTCGATACCTCGTTCGGTGGTATATTCAATTCTTCCGCCAGTTTTTCCCAGTCTTTGTCTAGCAGATTTGCGATATCAGTCAACCGTATAGTTGCTCTGTGAATAGCGTCCGGACGACCTGGAAATATAATTAACGTTTACAATTCTCGCGGTCTCTCCGGTTCGGACATGATCAGCGTGAGAATCCGCGCATACTTATGCCGCCGTCGCGTAGGAAACTATAATTCTTCGAGAGCTCTAGCAAATCCACCTCCGAGGCAGCAGGTTCCGAAGAGATCTTCTCTGGCAATAAAATATTCAACGTGCATATAGGCGTCTGTGGCAATTCACCCTTAGGAACCTTTGGCTCGCTCATGAACATTATGCGTCCCATCATATCCGCCGCGTCTGGATCCTTTATTCTCGCCGTGAACGGAACTCTGTTCTCCTTGAAAGCTCTGAACGGTAGCTGAAGCTGTTCGCCGCTCTTCAATACTGGCACAAGGTTACCCGAAAATTCCATGTACTGTGTTTTACCTTCCAACACCTGTGGGAAACAAGATTTCACGCGATGTAGCCGCGTAACAATAACTTAATTACCAAGCGATGATTCACATAATTTCATTGCGTTTACCTCGACGTCTCGGCTCTTAGCAACTTCCGTGAAGTGCTCTTGATTCTCTAATGTCTTATCTTCTTTATCGTCGGTCATACAGAACACGCGTAGTCTTGCTTCCAATGGATCTACTCGCTTTGCAAATACTACAAATCTGCGGATGAAATTACGTTATTCATTAATTACATTTCGCGCTTGAATGAGATGTGTAATCATGCAGGTAAAACGTAACTGTTTGATATTGAGAATAGAAAATTTACACTATTCGAAAAGCTATTTCTTCCTTATAAATTTAAATCCTCTCTCTAGATACTATCGAAAGAACATATGCAAAAATGATAATACAAAAGGTTCTATAAAAGATCACTATGGGTTTAATACTACACAAGCTTAAGGCTCTTCCTTAACTCGTCTTTTAGCAGGTACAGAAAAATCGTAAACTTTCAAACGATATCGATCCGATTTTTAGAAGAAATGTTCTACCTGCGATTACGTTACGCTATTCGTTTTTTGAACAATCAACGTACTTGGCCATAAAAGGTACATGTGTCGCGTGTGTGTATAGCTCCGTAGCCATTTTCGTGGCTTCGGAGATATTTCGACAATCCATTAGCCAGAAGCGAGCAGATACAGTTGTAGTGAAGGAAACGCAATCTTTCACGAACGTCAGCGGCGTCGAACCTGTGACATCCTCCCAGACTGCCCGAGACTGACCCCCTGAACGACATACATACCAAGTCCAAGAACATTATTAAAATATGTCCGTGCTGCGAATGGAGAATCGGCAGAAGTGAAATGTGTGGGATATTAACCCGATGCGACCGAGATTAATTACAATTAAGACGCTTTCAGCCCTTTGATTGTCGAGCATTCTGTTATTACGCTAGACGCCTACGTTTTCTAATTTCGTACTGTTACAAAGAATATCACAAAAAAAAATTCAATTAAAAGAAAAAGAAAAATTACCATAAACGAAATTGAAAACTTGCGGAAGCTGTTAGGAAGAAAAATATCGTTCGAAGAAACAATCGAAGGGCTTAGACATTTTTACTAGAAAATGGTTGTCCTTCGTTCTTTCATGTTGACGTATGTTCGAAGCTAAAATTAATTCAACTGATAATCTTCAGTTCCTCCCATAAATCAGGTCATCGTTCCACTAACCACCGGGCTCAAAGTATCAACAAACGCGAGGAAAACATGAATACTTATCGAATGTTATCGTGCTATTAATTTTCTTCGACTGTTCATTCAAAACAGTAGTACATGTTTGAATATGAAACGTGATATTATTTAGACGTTTACAGTGATGTAATTCTGGATCATGTTGAAGAAGGTACATTTGAAATTAACAATGTTGTTAACAAATACGTAGAGATAATTTTCTTATCTTATTCTTATTCTTAAACTTATTCGAAAATATTGAAGTAAATTGTTATATTTGAATCATCTATGTTCTTGTGCAACATTACAGACAGAAATACGAAAACTGAAGTAAGATAGTTGTTTCCTTTTCCATCATACGACAGAATCGGTAAAATTTTGTATTTAATATCGGTCACAATAAGTGCGTTGATGTTACGTGCTGTCATGTATGTGGGTAATATGAAACAAAATTCACGCTGACCGAATGATAATGCTTGCTAAATGAAAGTAAAGCGGCATTCATTGAAAATCGCGCATAAAGCAAACGCGAATCTGTGTAAATCTGCGATTTATAATAAGTAGAAGCAAGAAAAAAACAGAAATGTGTGAAATAATTCTAGTAAAAACGCGGCGCAATGCATGTCGAAAACATATCTTCCTGCTTCTTTTTTTTTATTGCATTTGGAATATTTCCGTGATGTTCGACAAATTGAATATTATTCAACCAAACAGAAACGAGAATTTGATAGAAAGCATAGTAACACGGAGAAAACCAGAATCAAACTGTTTACTCGAAAGTATTTTTCGATGTATATATAACTCACAAACATAGGAAGTTGGCTGTAAGAGATAATAACATTAAAAATACGATATTGTCAGTCTTTTGTATCGGTAAACGGTGTCGTATGATACATGTTAATAATTCTCTAAAAATACATATATTTCGAGAACACAATTTTATAGAATTCATAAATTACAAGCCTAATATCGAAGCGGTTACCAGTCAAACGAATGTGCTGAAACAAAAACTTTGAAGTTAACGCTTACAATGAGCTAGGTAGTAAAATTTTATCTACATTAATTAATAATCCATACCTAAATGACTCAATCCTAACAATATGCAAGCATTAACAATGAATCACAACAAGATATGTATACAACAATGGTACTCAACGAAATGTTTCTATGAAACATGCAGCTACCATCTCCCTTTTAAATCTCTATCCGAAGGTCTCCGGGACATATAACCTAATTGCACCTAAATGAATTTTGCTGTAACAAAAGAAACCTTCTTAAGGGTGAAATTAAACAAATCTAAACCTACAGTTTTACTTTAGAAAATAATAATAGTAAATGTTCTAACGCCGTGTATACAGAGGGATTCTTAATGCAGTCCCGACGACCTGAGAACAGACGAAGATGCCTATCGCCCGCGCCATGCCTACTAAACTACAATTGATCTTTGAATGCGTAAGAAGTCTGATAAGAGCATATATACACCAAAGGTGTTGCGGCGTAACAGTTTCAGCACTTATCGGTAAGAGATTCTCCAGTAAGACGGTACGCTGCTCTACAATATTACGTGCAAGCATATATTACCAGTTATGCTGCACAGAAGTCTCAACGTCGGCGCATCTCCCGAATATTGATTGATCATGCCTTTGTTGGCTGCTTGTGGCACGGGTATGGTTAAAGTTATCGGTTTGTGGAATTTTCTTCGTCTTGGTTCAACAGTTACGATCGGTGATACCGCCACTCTATTACCAAGTAACTTAGCTACTAGGTCTGCCGGTATCGGATGTGCCTAAACAAAAAGTACAGGTTGTTTGTAATCTGATGGTAACTTTTCTAGTACTATCGTTAATTGAAATATTCATTTATACGTTTTCGTCGTAAATAAACTTGTCAGAGATGTTAATAATAATTAGATAATTACAGTTTACATGGGGTAATTTGTTTCTATTGTATACTGCTAGGTATTGCATAGCACGCTGTTCTATTCATTATTGAATTATAAGTATGATTCGTAACATGTATTTTTATCCTTGTACCATTTAATGCACATTTAAACAATTCAATATTTTATTCTATCCTTTTGGAGACTTCAATTTATCTTCAAAATTCTAATCCTGATAAAAGTCTGGCTGGAAAAAATGTTTGCTGTTAATATTGATATTTCAAAAGAGAATGTAAACACCTGAAGGCCAACTCTGATCTTTTTAGTCAAGGCTGCTGGTGGAAAGACGGCCTGAACTTGTGGAACAGCTGATGATGAAACTGTGCCACCTTCTGGACCAACTGCATGGACCTCTTGCCTAATGCGAGACACTACCGCAAAGTAGTGTGGGAAGTCTGCAGTGAGTATCCTTACGATGCGGGAAGTCTGGAGATCCTCAAGCTGGCTTAATTCTGCAAAAATATTTGCACAAATAATTTAATCTCTTATTACATCTACATACTCCTCAAGGATGAATCTAATTGTGTATTATTGTTCAAGATAGCTGCTGAAGTGAAATACGCATTCTGATATAGATCAACATTATCTTTGCACCATTTAAAGTTACATTATTTCTTACGTAAACAATTACTCTTATAAAGTCAATAGAACATGCGATTAAATATCTGAAATAATGTTTTATTTATTTATATACTATTGTTTCAAATTAAATTACTTTTAGTTTAGAGTTTATTAGAGAATACAAGTGTGAATATGTTTTATACTGCAGCATATTTTAATGAGAATAAATACAATTGAATTAATTATACCTTCTCCTTCAAAGCTCTCGTTAAGAACATCTTGGACAGCCTCCTCGCTGGCTTCCAAGGTATGCTCGCGCCAAGTTTCTCCATTATCCGATCGAAGTATTACTATTTCTCGTTCCTTTCCTCGCAACGACGCAAAATGGGGTACTTCTATGATGACAGGCCTATACGGAAAAATTATTATTATTATTAGAAAATTACAAACATTTATTACTTGTTCATATATGTACATTAGTATCATGAACAATTCATTTCGTGGTGAAATTATTTTCAGAAAGTTATGTCTCATCTAAGATTTAAAATTTTTGCATTTTACTTTAAAATTTAAAAACTTTTATAATTTAAAAAAAAATGCAAAACTATGACAACGTGAGTATCTTGCAAATTACACGAATTTTAGAATTTTTCTATTCAAATTTACTTAATTCAAAGTGCATTCTTCTGTAATGATAAAAATTCAGCCGGTCAAGGTTTATACTTTTCCGAGATACGAACATCACATTTGCGTAATGAAAGCTCTGTTCTGCGAATACAATGGCATATGAATTTAGGTCAGTAAAGATTATCTTAAATCTCTTTACTACATGCCAAAGTTATATTCTGCGATGGGAGTCGGATAATTTATAGAATTCAGATCAACTAAGGAATATAGAAGAAGAAAAAACCATTTGAAAATGTAGATCTGGAGAGCATTTACGCACAGACGCTTGTAAGTCGTTTAAAATGTTTTTATCGCTTGATAAGACGACAAATGGATGATTCTATCTGGGCTAATAAAGACAACCTCCATATCTGGTAAATACTCAAGTTTATCAAAACGTCATTGCTGCCACATCAACTTCAAACTTTACGTTCAAGAAGGATGCTCTTAAATTTCATTAAAAATTATTTTTAAACTACCCGGTAGATTACACATCAGA